GCAGTTATTTTACAGTCTTATATTATGTTCTATTGTGTGTATATGTATAAAATAACATTATATTTAGCTTTTAATAATGTAAAATTAGTGTCAGAATTTAGAAATTAATATTATAAAATGTAATTTAATATGCATATATACATATACATTTTATACACGTATATATAAATATTCTGATTTATTATTATTTTTCGATATCAGCAGCATAAAATATAAAATTATAAATGTGTAGTTTGATGTGAATTCTAAATTTTCCAATGTGATTTTATAATATCTATATGTATATAATAATAATTTTATTCAACACAAAATATGTAGAAAGCATACGTTAAAATGATATATAAAATTATAAATAAAATTCATCTAAAAATCTGACATAAATTATACATTGTTCAAAGTCCATTTTAGAGCGATTTTTAATTGTTATCTCTCTCTCTCTCTCTCTCTCTCTCTCTCTCTCTCTCTCTCTCTCATATATCATAATTTTATATAACGACTTGGAAAACATTAACAGTAACATTAATATTATAACTTTCTGTTCTATATGACTGTAATATATGCATATAACACACGTAACAATTATAGTCGAGTAGAACATTTTAACGTTGATGAAATGTTACTGGTAATGTTACTGTAATTAGTGTAATATTTTCTGAGGATATATTGTGTAACAAATATGAATTGAAATCGAATCAACAATTTATATTTTCATAATTTAATTGACTCTAGTCGACTCTGGGATCATCTCGAAAGAGCAAAATGTAACATTTCAGATATTCTTTAGAAGACAGAATTTTTGCAGCAGCAACTCCTTGTAGAAATAATAATAATAATATCCGAAGACAGGATAATCTGAGAACCGATCTCAGTCAATCGCCTCGAAGAATCGCGTCCATTAGTTCGCGGATGCATCGAGGCGTCCCAGGCAATTTTAATAACTCACCACGGCCGTCGTATAATGTGGGGCTGGTCGTTTTATGCCCGTCGTAAAGCACTTTACAACTCGGTTCAATAAAAAAACAATTCAACAATTCCTCCGTCGGGATCAATAACGGATGAAAGCCGATTGGATCGGGCTTCGCCAATCGGGATTAGCCGTGGTAACCGAGGGGACGGATTTCGCGGATTCTGCGCCCTCGAATCAGCGATCCCATTGGCCCCACCGTGATCAAGGGGGTTGTAACATTTTATCAGGATAAAACTTTACTAGATATTGATGCTCCAAGTAGCGGGAACTTGCGCCAAATAAAATAAAAAAAAAAAAGACAGCGACTTTTGTCGCGTTCTTTTTGACAATATATATTTTGCCGTGACGTACACACAATGAAGCTTTCCCGAACATCGAGAAAATTCTGGTCACGTACTTTTTTTAATTGATACAATATATAGGTTACGAAAAAAGTCACTCCAAGTCTGCGACAGCTAAAGCGATACCGCGAACATTTATTCAATGGCGCATTTTGAATGCGCGTCTGTTCATCGAGAAAATGCAAGAAGTAGAAAATGGGAACGGTTGCGTAAAAGAGTAGAACGAAATAAGGTCAACGATGAAAAAGATGAAATAAAAGAAAGAGATAAAAGTGTCGTCTTTCTTTTGTTAAATAAAATCTACAATTCTTTGCTAGAGAAATATTGTACTGATTGCATATTATTCTCTTATTAACACTTTGATTATCGTATCATTTATATCTGAATGAGGTATAAAATTTTCAAGAAATTTGAATGGTCACTTTTATTTAGATGATTTTATTTATCTAATTAGGAATAATGATTTTATTAAGTATTTAAGAGTTAAAGAAATAATATAAATTGTACTAAGAAATAAAGCATTTTAAAATATAATATATGTATTATGTTATTTATTAAATTCTATTCTGGAAGCAGCTTAGCAGTCCAAAGTGTTAAATTACGTGTCACTTAATTAACGCACTATTTTTGGATTTAATCATATTTAATTCAATTAAACTCTCTTATATTCATCGCTTTTAGATGTGTGTAACTTTAGTCGATAAATTAAATAAAAATATATCTACATCTATATAGAAAAGTTAAGAATTGTTTCATGAATCTTAATTTAATATAATTAAAATTTAATCCTGATCGGTACTTATAAATCGACATTTTTTTCAACTACGTTGTAAAAAATTGTTTACAACAAATATTTGTATAACAACCTTACATAATTTTAAATTACGTAATCTTAATCTTCGGATTTTGACCTTTAAAATTAAAAAAAATCATTTAATTACAGTAATTTTAAGCACAAAGACACATTAATGTTATTTAAAATACATTATTTTAGATCCCCGCTAAAACCAGTTAAGGAGATCCTATAAAGTTGTATTAAAATTCGGTAGGATTTACAACATATGATTTATGTCATTGACATATCACTATTACACCAAATATCGTACATATACGTACAAATTTTCTGGCTAATTAATCTTTTATATTAGGTATTTTATTCAAAATACAACACGTTTTTGTTCATATAATCCCTAGTTCAAATCAAGATTGTTTTATATAAACAAAGTATAAAATAATATAAAGCAGTATATTGTTGCGAGTCGACGTCAGAAGTCGATCGATTTGGACTACATTATCGCTTATACTTTAATTGGGTAAAAGGATTTTCAAATTTGTATAAAGTAAGGCAGTTAAAAAAATACTTATTTGAAAATAATCGGTAAAATACAGAAGACTTTAGAATCCCCTTAAAGAAATTTCGAAACAAATATATCAAATCAAATAATTTTGTTATTTGTCTGTATTTTTATGTAATTATTAATAGCAGGATTGGGAACAGATAACAGTATATATAAAGAAAATATTTTTTTTAAACATGTTTTTAATGCTTCATATATATTTTAAACAGTGTTATAAAAAAATATGTTTAAAACATGTTAAAAACATTAAAGCATGTTTGAAACAGTTCAAAACATGATTTTTACCAATTCTGATTAATAGGCAAAAAATAAATATGCATGAATTAATGTATCACCGCAATAACTAATACATGACGTTCTGTAATTTAAAAAAATCTAATAAAAAATATATATTAATATAAATTAATTTTGTTTTAAATAACCTTAAAACATCTATTCGTATTCCCTAAACTAGCGAAAAAAAATTATAATTCCAAGAATTTTTAATTTAAAAATTTCACCACAAAAATTTAAATTGTAAACATTGATAAAATATTAGAAAAATATAATCAAAGAAAGGTTACATACACTATTTAAAATTTCAAAAATTGTTTATATTTTCAAGAAATCGGGATTTCACGTTGCAAAAATTAAGTGTCGAAAACACATGTCTGCAAGGTTTTTTTTTTCTAAAGTGTACTAGCGATTTCCTATATTTCTATACAAGTTTTGCGCGTTGAATCCGAATGTGGCCACAGAATTTATGTAGCATGTCAAGTTTTCGAGATAAATTTTTATGTAAAAAAAGACGTTTTTTTGCTATTTTCATGGCTGTATTCAAAAATCACCAAAGCTTCATTAAAATTTTTACCAACGTCATCATAAAGTACTATTTTTTTCTCTTTAAAATCCATTTTAAATCGATAACAATATTTTTAAGCTGAGATAAAATTGACTAAATATCTAAAAAAAAAATAAAAAAAATAAAAAAAAAACAATTTACCATATCTAATATGATAGAATGGTCAGAAAGGTGTCAAATATCAAAAAATTGCTATATTTTGAATAAGTTAAAATAAAATCGATGTATATTAATAGAATAGGGAAATATAATTTCAAAGAATGACATTAATCATGGTCATATAACTGCAACCCTCCCCCCCCTTTTGAATAGAGAAAGATTTCTTCTATTCAAAGAAATGTTTCTTTGTTAAAGAAAAAAATTTCTTTGATTTAAACATCATTTTTAAAATTTAAATATCACTTGTTAAAATCAAACAAAAAAATTTGATTTCAAAAAGTGATATTTAAATTTTTAAAATGACGTTTAAATCAAACAATTTTTTTCTTTAACTGTACAACAAAGAAACATTTCTTTGAATCGAAGAAATTTTTTTCTGGGTGTGCGCTTTCCACCATCAGGCGTAAAAATATCGTACGTTATTGATTCAAAATGGATTTTAAAGAGAAAGAATTTACAATAATGTTGGTAAAAATTTTGATAAAGTTTTGGTATGTTTTTAGTAAAGTTATAAAAATAATTAAAACGTTTTTTCGACATAAAATCCAATTTATCGTAAAAATTTAATGTGCTACGCAAATTCTTCTGCCACATTTAGATTCAGCGTGCAAAAATGCATAGGAAACCACTAGTATATTTTAAAAAGAACTTGATACCCCTCCTCCCCCTCCTCCGTATTGCAGATCTGCATAATTGATATTGAATCGGTAAGTGATAGCATTATCTAAAATTATAAAAATTTGTAATAATTGCAATTGCGAATTTTGAGAAATCACGAAAATCAAGAGTCTCAAGAAAATCAATACTCATATTTTTTCATAAATTTTTGTTAGTAAATTCTGATTAATTACTGCGAAAATCGCAAAACTAACAGACTTTTCCTGTTTCAAAAAGGTTTACATCTATTATCATCCTGTCATCCAGGCATATTTTGAAATATTTTTATAATCATAGTTTTGGCAATACAAGTGTATTTTATATTTTACATTTCAATGGTCCACATGAAAGTATTACATATTTTGTATTAAAAATCAAAAGATTAAAATTTTATGTATTTTATAATTCAAATTATATATATATATATATATATATATATATA